CGCGCCGCGGAGGCCGTCCAGGCTGAGAGGGGGGGTCGACGTCGGGCGGGAATCCCGCGCGAGGCGCTCGCGCAGCGTCGCGAACTCGGCCGGGACCAAAGCCGCGGCGAGGGCCCTCCCTGCGGGGCGTGGGGAAGCCCGAAGGCGTCCTTTCTTTCGTGGGCTTCGCATCTCCGCGGCGTCCGCGCGAATTCGCGCCATCGCGGCGGCGACGGAGGGAATCGCACGGCTCCGCATTACCGGGGCGACCCGCATTTCAATTCCCCGCAGCTGCTTTCTTTACAAAACGAAGAAAAAAGAGGGAAAAAAGATGGTCCGGAGGCGATGAATCGCATCCTATTCCGGAAGGTGGGAATTAAAGAAGGTTAACCCAACCCAACCCCAAGCGTATGAGATGTTTTACCACGTGCTACATGTACGATAACCTTTACATATCATTTTCTATTTTGGATCGATTGGATTTTTCGCTTTAAATGAACAGAAACAAACTCGGTGATGGTTCTGTTGTTCGGGTTTCTTTGTGCGCTATATAAATCATATATAAACCGTTATAGGAACTTGGAATTTTTTTTATAAAAACATCGGTTACGTTATTCGATCAATTTTGAGTTATCCACTGGTATTCCATTTTCCTTTTTAAATCTCATTTCCATAATTTCGAATCTTTGACAATCGCACCAGCTTTTTATGATCGCCACTTATCCACGCAAAGCGCGTGATCAACTCAACAAGCAGTTGAATGTCGATAATTTTGTTTAATAAACGGAAGGACGCGCAGGTCAGGCCCTGATCCCGCACCGTCATGCGCCCGGCGGAGGCGAAAATATGATTCGCGGTGTCGATCGGCAGCGCGGCCGCTTTCTGCGCGGCCTGCAAGGAGCCCAGAAGGGGGCCTTCGGTTTTGTAAAAGTTCGTATCCACAGGGGAGGGGTGAATTACCACAACGTCAATCCCCGCGTCGTAATTCTCGGCCGCCAAAGTACTCGCAAAGCTCGTCAAAAACGCCTTGGTGGGGCTGTAAAGCGTGGCCGTGGGGCCGGGCAGATAACAGGCCGCGGAGGAGGTGAAGGAAATTAACCCCCTGCTCTTCCGGGCGAGCATTTTGCGCAGGAAATGATGCGTAATCGCGATCGAGCAGCCCGCATTGCACTCGAAATTCGATCGCAGGCTCTTTAAGTCGCCATCCGCGAAAAACCCGGGGGCGATGTAGCCGGCGTTGTTAAACAGCAGATTGACGTAAATGTCCTCCGTGGCGGCGATAATGGGCTGCATGTAGGTCACGTACCGCTCGTCGCCGAGGTCGATCCCGACTTTGCGAAATTTAACGCTCGGATGGCGTTTGCTGAGCTCCTCGAAGGTCTTCGCGAGCATGGCATCCCCGAGGGCGACGAGGACAACGTTAATCCCCTGCCGCGCGAGCTTCTCCGCGATCGCCTTGCCGATGCCACTGCTCCCACCGGTCACCAGCGCCCACTCCGCGTGGTATTTCCTACGCAGGTTTTGCGGTACTTTGAGCGAAATCCATTGCAAAGCCTGCATTATCAGATAGCTCAGCATGCTAAAGAGCCCAATCCACCCACAAAGATAGCAGAAGGCCGCCCAGATCCATGTATCGATGTAGAACATGATCCTTTTTTTTTTAATTATGATCTATTTTGGGGGTTGGAAGTATTATAGAATTAGTAGGATTTCTATTTTTTTTCCTTCTGTCATTTATTTTAAATAGAGGAAAAAAAGTAAAAAGAGACAACGAAATGCAATATATTCAACACCCATACTCCCTTTAGTAAATATTAATTTTATTGTTGACTGAGGAAAAAGTATAACTTTATTGCACACGTGTATAATAACGATTATCGCAACATTCTTTCAACCCATTTCCGAAAAAGAATAAAATGGGAAAAAAAGAGGGTAAATCTAAGCATATAAAAAAATATATAACAGATGACGTTGTTGAGTATATTAATACTGAAAATATATTAAACCCGGATGGGGAGAACGACCTCGTTTTTAGTAAGCGTAAAGACTCCCCAAAAGCTGACTTGCCAAGTGAGGGGAGGTCGGATTTCGTCTTAACAACGCGCCGTGCGGGGCATTTGGCCCCTCCGGCGCCGATTCCACTCGCACGTCGAAGACCACCAAACGCGCCCCGAGACTTTGCGCGAAATCCGGCCCTTCCAACGCCCCCCGCCTTTCCTTTTCCCCGGGCGAGGCGTCCGTTTCCGTGGGGGAGTCGAAGTTGTTGTTTTCGCACGCCGCGGTGAAGCGCAAGCCATTCCAGCGGGGGTCCCACTGGAAGATCAAAAGCCCACAGCCCCGGCGCTCCGCCGTCGGCTGGGGAAAAAGGGCGGCGAAGGCGAACGGGGCGGCGCGCGGCGCCCGCACGCTGAGCGCGCGCTCGCAGAGGTGCACCACCCCCTCCCGCCGCGGATCGCAGAGGAATAAATGCAAAGTCCCGGTATCGGTAATGCAGGCAACGAGTTCGCGCAGGACGGGCCCCCCGCCCGGGGTTGGGGAGCGCAACCCCCCTGTTTGGCCCCCGTCCGCGTCGTCGTTTTCGCCTGGGAGGGGCATCAAATGGATGGAAACGCCCCCGACGAGGCCGGGGGTTCGCCCGCGATCGAGCGTCCGCGCGGCCGCGAGGAGGTGGTCATCGCGAAATTCGACCAGGCGGAGTTTCGTCCCGGCCTCGCCGAGGGTGGCGCCGAAACGCCCATCCCGCGTAATCGCGACCGCGCGAAGGGCGGAGCGGTGGAGGAGAAAATCCCCGAAAAGAAAGCGCCCCGCCGCGCGGGAGTCCTCCTCCGCCCCCCCGCCGCGCACGGCGCGTTTAATCGTGAGCAGCCGCAGCTGCCCTTTCTTCTCCCCCGGGAGCATCACGCGGAGGCGCTGGATGCTCATCCCGGCCCCCACCGCGGGCGCCCACAGACTCGCCATCGCGACGGCATCGCGCAAAAACGCGTTACTCGCGGGCGGCGAGATCGCCCAGGAGGCCTGCTGGACGAGATGTTGGTCGAAGACGTAAATTCGATGGGAGCCCTCCACCCGAGGGTCCCCGCAGAGCCCCACAATCACGCACGACGGGCCATGCCGGAGGGCCGCCACCGTCGTCGGGAAGTCCGCCTCCGCGAGCACCCGCGGGCGGGACCCCGCGAGCAATAGCGCCCCCGTCGTCGACAGCGACGACGACGACGACGACGAAAAGGACGCGGAGGCGGACGAAAGGAAACGACCCCCCCTCCCGGGGCGCGCGCGCGCATGCCGGGCGCGCCGGGGAAGAAGCCCCCACGCCAGGCAGCCCCGCGTCCACCAGTTGGACCGTCGAGGCGGCCTGCCGGGTCCGGACGCCGGAAAGGCCGATGACGCTGCTCTGCTCGTGCAGGCTCAACAGCCCCACCCCCCCGTCCACCACCCGGCGAAAGACCTCCACAAGCTCGTTCGCGGCCGCGCCCGGGGCGGGACTGGGCGTCGGGGAGGACAAGGACGCCGCGCCATGGGGATGCCGCCGGCGGATAATCCACTCCAGGGAGGATTCCACGCTGTAGATGATAAACCCCCCCGGGGTCCCCAGCCCCAGGTTCCGACCCGACGCCGCCCAGGCCACAGCGGTGATGGTGCGGAAATCCGGCACCCCGCGGGCGGCCGGCGCGAGCGTGAGGCTGCGGGGTATTGGACCACGGCTCTTCGGCTCGGCACCACGAACTCTACACCGAATACTGCTAATACGCGTAGGACTATTAGCAGTATTTATAGTGGTATAAAAAGTCGTATTAATTGTACTAATATGGGTAGTGCTAATACTATTGACCGTAGTATTAATAGTACTAACAGTACTATTAGTCGTACGGTGTGGGATTTCTACTGTGTCGGTTTCCTTCTAAAGAGTCATAAATAATAAAGAGAGCAGGACGTCGATCGGGGTGTTTATTCAGACCTGTGATTTTATTTACTGAGTTGGATAAAAGGAAAGAGGGGTCGCCCACCTTTTTCTTTTCCGAGTTAAGAGACACTCCCTAACGGAGCACGCATAAAGCCCTTGGCTTCTTTTTCAATCAGAATTCCACAGGCAAAGTGAAAATTGTAGAGCCTCAAGGTATTTCATTCAGTGTTGCCCCCCAAAAAAAACATCCATAGTAAGAATTAACCCATTTCTTCAGTCTCTACTGTCTTGCCCTGTCATTTGAAATCCCCACCACCACTTGATTATTGCTTCTCCTTTTTTCCATTTTTTTGGGGGGGCCTATTCACTACGTCGAGAAGGAACGAAAACTAAACCCTTTCATTCGATTTTACTTCTGAATGGATTGCCGTAAATTTTCTTCCCGCGTCGTCATTCGGCGAACCATTTCCCCACATTCCAGAATCGCTTTCTTATGCGTGGATGCGGAATTCGCCTCCTTGAGCGAGCCTTGCCGTTGAATCGAGCTCACCGAGGAGCACGAACGCAGCGTAGGAACACCCAAGCCACGAAAAAGACGCTGCTCACTAAAATGTGCTACCATCACTAACTCATTGGGTGATTCTTCAGATTCTTTTTCGTCTTTTTGTTTGGCTTCCGCCGATTTTTTTGCATTTTCCCGTTTAAGTTGAATTCGGTAAAGGCTATAACGCAGAAAATACGCGAGGCGAACCGGATTTTTCTCGCACAACATAGCGAGGGAGAAATTTTGGGATTTAACTTCATCCAGCAGCTTCGAATTGGCATTTCCGAGAGTCATAAAACTATCTCGCACACGTGGAAGCTGGCAAATCATATCAAACTCCTCCGTTGGATTCGAAACATGAAGTTTTATCCGTGGAGAGGGCGCCGTGGAGGACGAATTGAGGCGATTGAGATCCGCCTGGAGCTGAAAGGCGTGGTGAATATTCTGCAGAAGCGATTGTCGAGCACCACGCTCCTGCAGAGAGGTATTTGTAGCTGCCGAGTTTCCTGAACGAAGATGCGCCTCGTGCTTGATCTGCCAAAGACAAGAAAAGGGAATTATCAGATGAATCGTGGGCTCATCGGTGTAAGAAGCCGCACGATTGTCCACGCCCACTTTCCCCCGAACGATTCCGGAGCTATTCTCTTTGGATGCGCGAAGCAAATCCCCCTGCTGTCGAAGCTCGTCCGTGCAGTGCATTAAACAGCTTCCACCCAAAAGCGGTTCCGTCATAAATTTGGGTGTAAATACCTCGAGCGTCTCGTCTTCCCCACCCCCAACGTCGTAAAAACGATCCGCGGCGACTAAAGATGACAAAGTTAGGCCGCAATTGTGCGCGTTGAGATACCACAAATCCGTCCTAGAAGCCCCCAACGGAGCAGGTCCCTTCGAATGTGTCGTTTTTTCATTATTACCGTTTAAAAGTGGGAGCATCCCCTGGAGTTCAGCCAGATTAGTCGGTACAAGCACCAGATTCCACCGCGGAGCCATTAAACTGCTTAGCAGCATCGCATCCACCGCATCGCAATATTGTTGGCGAAAAAGTGCTTTTTCATTTTTATTTTCGCTAAGCATTTCCGAATGTTGAGAGCGTTGGCCAAGTGATTCTAAATATAAGGAAAGCCACTGGGCGTACGGAATATGGGTCGCATCACGATGCGGTATGGATTTCAACAACGCCGCGAAGGGCTCTATAGCCTTGAAAAGACTCGTCGCGCCCGATGTGAGGGATGCCATGAACGTTTACGCTCCCTTAGCCTTGAGTGACCTAGTTAAGATTAGGTTAGACGGAAACGTTGAAAAAGAAAAGGTTGAGAACAGTTAATATACCGACTCGGAAATAATGATGGGAGGGGGAAAGACGCTTTAGTGTATTTACAGAGGAGAGAAACATGTGCCGTGGTATTTATATCGAGGGGTTTAGTTCCTCTTTCCATATGTCTTTAATAAAGATCAAGACAATTGGGACCAGGGCTAAAATATAAGTCAAGATCTTTTTGATTCAATTTGAATAAATAAAACGAGCATACAACAACAAAAGCACCTGCTTTTATTTTTCCTCCCACTAGTAATAAAACCCATCATTTTTATTGATACGCTGACCAAAGTAGTGAATTACTCGCCCACTTTTTTAAAACTCCCAGCAACTCTCTCCCCCTCCAAAAAAAGAGAACAATTTATATTTTTGGCTCCTTTTTCTTTTTTTTAGCAATTTAGGGGCATAGATACTTCGCAACGGTATTTCGCAGCCCCTCGATCGCTTTCCGACGATCCTTCGCCTTAAATATATATGTCCCGGCGACGATGACGTTCGCTCCGGCGGCCGCCGCAGTCTCGATCGTTTCGTCCGAGATCCCGCCGTCGACTTGGATGTTTAAAGACGGATAGGCCGCCCGCAGCGCCCGGACTTTTGGCATCATCTCCGGCATAAACGCCTGCCCGCCGAAGCCCGGCTCTACCGTCATCACCAGCACCATATCCACCAGACCCTCCGCGAGCAGCTCGGTCAGCTGGGGATCGGGGATCGCCGTTCGGGGCCGAATGGCGATTCCGACCTTCATTCCGGCCCGGCGAATCCCCTGCGCGATCTCGCGCGGGTGTTCCGTGGCCTCAAGGTGGAAGTTCATCAACGAGGCCCCCGCGCTCGCCATCGCCTCGACCCAGCGCTCCGGCCGCGCGACCATGCAGTGGACGTCGAAAAAGGCCGCGGGGAAGCGTCGGCGAAGGGCCTGTACCACACACGGCCCGATGGTGAGGTTCGGCACGAAATCCCCGTCCATTACGTCCACGTGGACCCACTCACAGCCGGGCTGGGCTGTCGGTTGCTTTTCGTTGGGGGAGGAGGGCAGGATCGTCTCGCATTCCTCCGCCAGACGCGTGAAATCGCAGGAGAGGATGGAGGGGGAAATAATTGGAAGAGGCGGAGGAGGGTTGGTCCCAGGGACCTCGACAGCAGGCATCAGAAATGACGGTAAAGGTTTGTTGGGTGCTATTTTGTGTGACGTGTGAGGATATATATATATATATATATATATATGAAAGAGAGATAGTGTTACTTTACGT